GTCGAATACGACGTGGCTGTGGTGCGCCCGTCTCGATAGTCGCGTTTCTCGGCTGAGGATCGTTCTCCGACTGCATCCCCATTCAAGTTGGGAGAGGAGGAGGTGGTCTTGGGAGCATTATAATCGGATGAGGATGATGAGGATGATGAGGATGATGATGATAACCAGGAGGAGGAGGAGGAGGAGGAGGGGAAACTTCTCTCGCTGATTCCAGTGCTCATCTTCTTCTCCTGCTTCTCCTGTCGCCTCCTCCCCGACTCAGCCTGTTGCGACCGTCCTCCTTCTCCTCCTCCTCTCCCCCTCCCTCTCTCATCTCCATTCCGATGATTGGCTGATCCTACTGTCGGGACTTGCCTATCGAAAGGCACAGAAGCCCGGTCTTCGTTTTCCGCCTCCTCCTCCTCCTCCTCCTCCTCCTCCTCCTCTTCCTCCTCCTCCTCTTCCTCCTCCCTCCCCCCCTCCTCCTCCTCCCCTTTCTGCTTCCCAGTTATGACCGTCTTCCCCCCTGGGCTTCCTTTCCAAGAGCGAGCGTTCCTTCCTTTGCCTGCGATGGCTAGCCTAGCACCCACCTTCTCCTCTCTCTCCCCCCTTCTTAGCGATGCCGACCATGGCATTGGCTGACTGCGCAGGCCTAAAAACCACCTCCTCTCTCTCCTCTCTCCCCTCTCTCTCATCTCTCTCCTCCCTCCCTTTGTCATCATCCCTTCACTATACTTCTCTCGCCTATTTTGCAGTTCAGTACCAACAGAAGAAGAAGAAGAAGAAGAAGAAGAAGAAGAAGAAGAAGAAGGGGATGTGGAAGCTTGGCTATGGCGATTTAACGGCGGGCCAACATTGCCGATGAAGAACAAGGTGCAGCACAACCAGGTGACATTCACGGCAATGAAGAGGACGTAGAAGACGGTTGGTGGGCGGAGAAGGAAGGCAAAGCGGCAATAGCCACCATGGGGGGCATGGCCACCATAGCTATGAGGCTTAGGAGGCATGAATGACTTTAGTTGGGGGGTAAAAGACGATGAGGAAGAGGAAGAGGAGGAAGAGGAGGAGGAGGAGGAGGAGGAGGAGGAGGAGGAGATGCTTGAGATAGAGCTCGAACAGGTGGATGTCGTTGTTATTGATGCCAAGGAGCAGCAGGACGAGGAGCTGGAGGAGGTGGAGGAGGAGGCGGAGGAATTGCTCCTTCTCTGCACACAGCTTATGAATGCGTCTGAGATACTCATGACTTCTGCATCTCTCGAATTCGACAGAAATGACATTTTTATCTCTCTCTCTCTCTCTCTCTCTCTCTATGTATATATATATATGACGATATATATATGAGTCGGTGAAACTCCGACGAAACAGTTTGTCACAGCCCCTCGTTTGTTGTCCTCTTCTCTCTCTCTGCCTACGGTTTTACCGGGCAGTTCTGTTT